GAGAGAGAGAGAGAGATTTTCTCTTACCTTACTTTGAAATTAAATAAATTAAATAAAGAAAAATATAAAGACAAATTATTATAAGATGAAATATTACATTATATTAAAAATAATTTATATAAATTTAATTAATAAGATAAAGTTAATTAATAAGATGAAAATTAAGAATTAAGTCTAATTAAGAAGATGAATTTGAATTTCGAGATTTATTTCACGAAATATCATCCAGAGATAAAAAATTAAGAAAAGATAAAAATAACTGTCAATAATGATACTTTTAAGATGCAATATTTTTATCTTATCGTGTAGTAAACAATTGTAATAGTATTTTTTAAATAAAGTCAATGAAAAAATTTACATATATACTAAAGTGACTATAAAATATTTTTACAAAATAATTTATACTTTATTATACTTTATTCTAACATACTGACATTAAATATAAAATATCTCATATAAACCATTAACTTTTTTTGATAATTTTACTTTAATTTTACATCTAGAATATTTGTATTATAAAAAATATATAATTTTATTTAAAAAATGGCGAGTGAAAAAAATATTAATTGTAAGTAACTTTATCTGGCGAAGGAAATATTATAATTGCATAGTGTTCTCGAAATCTCCTAGTTTTTGTCTTAAATTAAAATTAATTATTCGGTGATAATAGAAGAATACTTAATAGAATAGTTAATAATAGTAACTAATAGTAACTAATAATTAAATAAAGAGATGACTTTTTTTAATAGATATATCAACACAGATATTTCGTAAACACTGATTAAAATTTGCATGTATTTACAACTCGTAACATCCATAAAATGATGATCTGTCTATATTGTAGTGAGTGGAAGTAGGAAAGTTACAAAGCATAAAGTAGTCGCGTGCGTGATACAAAAGTTTATTTCATCACTTTAAGTGGCGTAGTCGACGTGTTTGCACTAAACAAATTCAAATCGTTCTTTCTAGACATCGTTCTTTCTATGTCCCTGTGATATTCAGCGTGAGAGCTAATTTAATTTATAAATAAAAATAAGTTTTATTATTATCTTTTAAACTTCCGACATTAAGTAACGTTACATTTTTTTTAGTGTTTACCATATGTTAATCACATATTATCTACATTAAGTGATAGAGTGTCTGTGATCAGTGTACATTTTCAAACATAAGAAACATCTTTAAATATTGCACAATACGATAAGGATAAACAAGGTCAGAAAACGAGCAATTTCGATGACTAAATTATTTTACTTAGATGGAACTAAATGAATTCATTTCTTTGTGTGACATATAAAAAACGAAAAATGAGCCAAATGAATTCACTTTCTTGTATAATTAAAACGTTTCGACTTCTACTAAGTCTTCTTCAGTTAATAATAAGTTAATACCTATGACATAGTGTAATTATCAGTAAAATTAGTACGGAATTAATTTAATTTTAAAGATCTAATTAAAATCACAATAGAAACGTCGGTATATTCGTGAAAGCCATATTCATAGATTGAACACTCACTTGCTAAAAATGTACAAATAATCTTGACAATCGTGGAAGTATAACGTATGAAAAACTATGTTAAGCAAAGATGTAACGTATGAAATAAAAATGCAAACTGATCTTGTCAAAAAAGTATAACGTTAATAATTTCACATATAAAGTTACCATTCGCCTTCCAACGGAGATCCAGTTCACTTCATAAAATAATCTTTCCTGACGACTTAGTTACTACTCTCAATTTTACATGAGACAAACCAAAGAAATTTCTTCGTTTTTTGACCTTTATCGTATTAAAGTATTTTTTTTTAATTCGTTACTAATCATTAAGACATAACGTTTTCTATAAATAAATACAAAAAAAATGTATTTTTATAGGAAAGTTCAAAATGGCACTTATTACGTCTTACTGGGGCCTGGATGGCTTAATAATTTTTATGGCTTTTATGATAACCGCTTATCTTTACATGACGCGCAAATTCAAGTATTGGAAGAAACGAGGTGTTTTAGAATTAACACCGACGCCTTTCTTTGGTAACTTTATGGAGTGTCTATTTCTAAAGAAGGCCCCAGCATATTTTTTAAAGGAAATATATGAAGAAACAAAGGGATTGCCTTATGTGGGTTTCTACGTGTTGGACAAACCATTCTTGCTGATTCGCGATCGAGAGCTCGTCAAAAACATTTTAGTAAAAGACTTTAATTACTTCTCCGATCGATATAATACTGCTGATCCAAACGATCGTATAGGATATGCAAATCTTTTCTTCATAAGAAATCCAACATGGAAAGCAATAAGAACAAAATTAACACCGTTCTTTACATCTGGCAAAATGAAGAAAATGTTTGATTTGATGCTAATATGCGTGAAAAATTTAGATGAATATCTCGAATCACTAAATTTGGATGGTAAGTGTTTGTTGAACAATTTAAGAAATAAAAAGTTAAGTATTAAAAAATATAAAATATTTAAAATTATGCTATCATAAAATTGTAATTAGATATAAACAATAAAATTTGATAATTATAAATATTTTAACCAACTATAAAAATATTAATAGCATTTTTGTTTTCTTTTCAATTTTTTTTTTTTAATTAAAGCATAAGTAAAAACATGTAAGCTTTAAATTATAACTATAAAATTATCATAAATCAAAAAATATGTAATATTCAAAAATTTGAACAATTTGAACAATTGAAAAGAAAAAAATAAAATCATTTTATTAGATCAGTTAATGAAAGTTCTATCAGTCAATGAAAGTTAATAAGATGTTCATAAATAAAATCAAGTCAAATCATTGATGACAGGTAAGGGAAAGACTTTAGAAGTGAGAGATATAACCGCCAGATTTACCACGGATATAATCGGCAGCACCGCTTATGGACTCGATGTGAATTCGTTTAAAGATCCGGACGCAGAGTTTCGCAGATATGGCAAAATGATATTTCAATACGACACTATTCGCGGTTTCGAGATGCTCGCGATATTTTTCCTTCCAACTATAGTCCGTTTGACAAAGATAAAGATGTTCGGCAAGGAGCCTACTGAGTTTTTGCGTAAGGTCTTTTGGGAGACGCTTTCTCAGCGCATGAAATCTGGCGTAAAGAGGAATGATCTTATCGATATTCTTATCGAACTCAAAAATAATAACAATGATAAAGAGTTTAAAGATTTCAGTAAGCAACATATTTTTAAATCTTTTATATTTAACAGAAGAGATTTAGAACATAATAATTAATAATACAACAAAATTAAATTTAATGATAAGTCTAATCAATAATTCTGATAAAAGAAATTAATCATGGCAAATCTTAAAAAATTATGGAAACTTTAAAAATTTACGTATAAACTAAATTTTAGCATTCGATGGCGATGATCTTCTAGCACAAGCAGCTAGTTTCTTCTCAGCTGGTTTTGAAACCTCTTCAACGACTACGTCTTTCGCATTGTACGAACTGGCGATACAACCTGAACTTCAGAATACCCTGAGAAAAGAAATTCTCGAGGCGCTTGAAAAATCCAATGGAAAAATTACATACGATATGGTATATATCATCATATAATATATAATTATTATGCGTTATTTCTTTTCAATCTTTTTACTTTAAATAAATTATTCTTCGTAATATGTATATATTCTTATTAAATATTTATATAATTTGTAATGCAAGAAAAGTTAGTTAAAGAGGCATAAAATGCTTAAAATTAAAATAAAATAAAAAATTTCAGATTTATTTTGATTTTAAGCATATTTGATATATTTTAGAATTAATTTTTCTTATAACTATAATTCAAATATCTATATAGAAATATGTATATTCATATTAATATGATTAGGCATGGTCATTACCATATCTCGACATGGTAATATCCGAAACTTTGAGAATGTATCCACCATTAGGATACGTAAACCGCGTAGCAATGGAGACTTACAAGGTGCCCGAATACAATCTCGTAATCGAGAAAGGCACACCGTGTTATATTCCAATGCTTGGTTTACACTATGATCCAGAATATTTTCCCAATCCCAATAAATTCGATCCGGAGCGATTCAACGAGGAAAACAAACGTAACAGACCATCGTGCGTTTATTTTCCATTTGGAGAAGGCCCACATGCATGTATAGGTAAGAATCTCGAATTTTAAATAGAATAATTTAATATGCTCATTATAAATATATAAATATTATATATGTTATATCTAATATTATATATAATAGTATATTATTATTAATATGTAATTATGTATTAATATATATTATAATATATATTATATATATTATTATAATAATAATAAATAATATATATTATTATATAAATATATTATTATATAAATAATAATATAAATAATAATATATATTATATATATTATTATATATATTACATATATTTTATATATATTTTCCTTCCTCTATTTCCTTGTAATATAATATATGCTGTTATATATTTTGCAGGCAATCGCTTCGGACTTTTGCAAGCGAAACTAACATTACTTATTATTTTAAGTAAGTATGAGGTGACACCGAGCGAAAAAACTTCAATACCAGTGGAAATTGATCCAAGAGGAGCTATGACAGCGCCGTTAAATGGTGTAATATATCTCAACTTCCGAAAAGTTAATGTTACTACTAAT